TATTTTTTAGCTATATACTTTGAAATCTCATCTAAGTATTCAAATAATTTATTTGGTACATTTTTCAACTCTTCATCTGTTTTTGCTCTATAACAAATTGGTTTATATATTTTATTAGTCACTCTAGAAACTAAATAAATTGTGAATCCATAAGGTATATGTTTCTGAATTTTATTTGTATATGAGTTATTTGGATTATTTTCACAAGTATTAATCTTTTTCAGAATGCTTTCAAAATCCATATAAATTACAAAAGGATGTTCAAGTTTTTTATAATAATTTTCAAATTTAACAGTTTCACCAGGAAATGGCATAATTGGTCGACAAGGTTAAAGAGATTTACAAATTATTAAATGTTCACTTAAATCTTTGTTTTTGTAAAAATGTGTTAAACATCTTCTACAAATGAATTTCTTATGTCTATTACTTTTTGTTAATTGAGTAGAAACAAATTTACTTAAATCTGTTATCAAAACATAATGTGAATTATTATCATTTTTTATATACAATAGATCAATATCTAATCTCGCATTGTAATTTTCAGATATTTGTAATGGAACAATCTTTTTATCTTCATCAAATCTGTATACATTAATTGACATAGATGGATAATTATATTTAGAATCAAATGATCTTTTTTCAAATAATTTTATATCTTTTAAACTCATTGGATAATCAAATTCTTTAAAAATTTCATCATTCATGTAATTTTTATATTGTTTTACTCTATGTGGATGATCAAACTTTTTATCTTCATATTTATCAATAGCACATCTAATTGCATAAATAAAACAATATTCATCTTTATTTTTGAAATTTATACAACACTTTTTATTTTTTATTTCAATTGGTAATTCAACATATGAACCACCATTTAATGAATTATGTTTACTTAGTTTTAAGTTTAAATCTAAACATCTTTTTAATGACCAACCAGATCCTTTTGATGGTTGATTTGAATTTTCTCTTAATATTAATTTTTTGAATTGATCATCAATAAATTCATCAGTATTTAATATATCTGAACTTCTTAAAGGATAATACATTTGGGTTTTTTGACTATCACCATTTACTAATTGTCTTTCATATTCACAAGATAATGATAACTGACCTCTTTTATTTTTAAATTTTTGTTTTTCAATCAATTTTTTAATTTCATTTCTTTGTGATTCTAAATATTCAGATATATCTAAATCATCATTTGAATTTGTTAAATAATACTCTTGAAAATAACCTTTTAATGATGACGCTTCCTGAATATTTATTACATTTTCCTTTGAAATTGGTTTATTTTTTAAATGATCAGTTAATAATCCAATCAATTCTTTTCTAGTTTTATCTTTTATTTTAATACCATTTTTAATTGATAGATTTTGAATAAATTGTAATGATCTATATTTTAGATTATTAGGATTTTGTTTGATATTATTTAATCTTTTAATTAGTTCATCTCTATATAAATTGTTAACATTTCTAATAGATAATTTATTAGCAATTTCTTTTAATTTTTCACTGTTAAATAGTAAATAATTTGTTGGATCATATGACTTCTTTAATTCTTTTAATTGATCTAAATTTTTGTTTTGATAATCAACTATTTTATTTTGTTTACACCAAAGTTTTAAGTTATTAACTTCAGTTTCATATTTAGTTTTATTTTCTAAATGTTTCTTTGAATTATAATGTCTATTATAATTTTTAGATAATATATTCTTATTACAATAAGGGCATAATATATTTTTATTTGTACGCTCCATTTATTAGAAGAAAAATTTGCACGATTTATTAAGAATAATTTTTACTTAGAAAATATGTTTTTATAAAATATGAATATTAAGATAAATATTTATATGTTAATTCAAAAATTATAAAATATTTGAAATAAAACTTAAACTTTTTTAAAACCAGTAATTTTCTTTAATAATACTTTCAAAAATTAATATTATTTTTATGAATTTTGTAATTTATTTATGTTTTTATTATGAATTTTAGTTTGTAAATGTTTTTGAAGATAACTAAGCCATTTTAAATCTCTACCACATTCACAATGGGTTGTGACTCTCATCATTTTTCTAACACATTTAATACAAATTGCAAATTTTTTATCTTTACTATAATAATGTTTATGAAAATTTTCCATATCTTTTGTTTCCTTACAATTCAAACATACTTTTTCACTTTTTTCTTCTACTATAATATTATCATATAACTTTTTTCTATAAATTAAATCACATTCTTTACAATATGAAAGTAATCCATCTTTATATTTTTTATTTTTATAAAAATTATTAATATTTTTTAATTGTTTATACTTTGAACATTCCTTCTCCATTTATATAGTATAAAATTTTACAAATTAGTTTTCTTCAATTCGTAATCATAAAAACTACCAAGTATATCTTCATCATTCAAGTCTTTAATACTATATGTAACAGGATTTGTATTATTAATTCTGGAAACAACAAATATTTCTCTTGACCAATTGTTTTTATATTTATTTGAAAAAGTTGATTTTTTGTTTCCTATTCTAACTCTATCATTTATTTTAAATTTAGATTTTGTAATTATTTTTGGTGGGATATATTTAAAAACTGTATCTAATAAATCATTTTCATTTTCTTTATTTACATCAATTGGTTTCATTTTAATTGTTGAATGATATGAATTATTATATTCTTTAACTATTTTTTGAAGAATATCAATCCATCTAAAATTTTTATTAATTTCAAATAGAACTTTCATTTTTTCATTTTGAGTCCTGTTATATCTTTCAATAATACTTGATTTTTCTTCATTTTCTGTATGATACAATTTAATATTATACTTTTTTAAAACTCCATTAAATTCTTTATTTATAAATTCTAGTCCTTTATCTGTATGTAATAAGTTTGGTGATTTATGACCAATTTTTATTGCATCTTTTATAATTTGTTCAAATGCTATAGATACACATTTTGCATCTTTTTTCTTTAAAGGTTTTGACCAAACATATTTAGAAAATGTATCAATAACATTCAACATATATTTATAACCATCATTTTCTTTTTCATAATTTTTCATAATGATTAAATCAGCTGCCCATAAATCATCAATACCTAATGTAACTATATTTCTTTTTGGAAATTTTTTTCTTATTAGAGCATGAATTTCTTTAGCTTCAATTATTTGATCTTTTTTATTTAATTCCTTTTTTATTATTGGTTTAATTTCCTTTTTAATTATTTTACTTTTATTTGTTTTACAAATTGAACATTTAGTAGCAATTCTAAACAAACCATTCTTCATTTCAACAATTTCTGGATTAATATTTTTAGTTTTCTTCTTACATTTATGACACTGAATAAGTTCTTCCATTTAGATATAAACATTTGATATATAAATGGATATATGTTATAGATGTTATAATTTTAATAACTTTACAATTATTAAAAATTGTATAGGATGTAATATATGTAAAAGAATTATTTCTGAAAAAAAAGATTAATAGACGAAAGAATAAGAACAAACATCTTATAAATATTTTAAGAGAATTTAATCATTTTCAACCATATCGCACACAACAATTAATCAATGAAATCTATACATTATGTATTTTAGACAATAGTTTTGAAATAACACCTAAAAATATAAAATTATTCTTAAAACAAAGAAATTATACAAACTGGATATTTTACTATCAATTCTTAAACAAAATATTCAATATTGATTTTGAATTAAATTTTGAAGATAAAAAAAATATTACAGTAATTTTTAATGCATATTTCAGTTTTACAAAAAGAAATATATCATTTAAAAAACTATTACCAATGATTTTTAAACTTTTAGAATTGAATTTTTATATAAAACCAGAATTTGATGATATTTTTTTAAAATTCTTAAAACATCTATCAACTTTAAATGATCCATGCATAATAAATTAACATAATGGTTTTTCTGATAACATAAGTGATACATCAGATATTATAAAAAAAAATAGAATTTTAAATATCACACAACAGTTCTAACAAACTGTTGTGTGATATTTAAAATTCTTTTCATATATTTCAATTATTAACTGTTTAAAATTTTTATAATTATTTTTGTAATAAATGGATCTATTAGAAGAGATAAATAATATTGGAGAATGTAAATTCAAAGAATATAAACCAATAAAAAGTTTAGAATTGAATACAAAATATAAAATAGAAAAATTTGAAAAAGTTAAAGATAAATATGGACCAACAATTATTGTTGAATTAGAAAAATGTAAAGTTCATTTGCCTCATAGATTTATTAATATATTTGATGAAAAAACAATTAAAGAATTAAATAAAAAAGATTTAAACTTAATTATTACTGAAATTAAAACATTCAAAGATAAAGAAACTGTTTTAGTTAAATTTGTATAAAAACTACTCATTAAATTTTAAAATTTTACTTGTTTTTAAAAACATTTTGTTTTGTAGTCAATTTTATGGAAAATATAGACATATTCATGAAAATTTCATCAAAATTATATACTTTTTCTTGAAAAATATGAAAATGTTAGAAATTGACCTAAAAGGGTAAAAAATAGAACATATTGTATAAAAAAATAGGAAAATTCATTTAATTTTTGAGTGGCTCCTTTTTTGGCCCAGAAGTGACATGAATATATCTACTTATATATATATATATATATATATAAATTTGAACGAATGGTGTTTTTGGCCTCTGGGGACATCAAAATGAAAAAGTAAATCGGTCCCGGGCCTAGGTCTTACCGTGCCATCTACGGTAATAGCTATTTCCCTATAGGGAAATTCGCTAATATATATTTAGGCCTAAAACGACCTCGGATAACTCGCAGGCTCGGATAACCGGGGCTCGGATAGTCGAGAGTGTACTGTAATACTGAATATTTTAAATAATGGATTTATGTTAATATAACATTAATCCCCCAAATCAATTTTTGTTTATAGATGTTGGTTGCTTGTTTTTTTTTACAACTGAAGTTTACTAGTCTAATTATATTTTTTCAGACATGGCAGAAGTGAGTGAGGAAAGTTCTTTGAAGGAGGAGATACATTTTGCTGCTGATGAACAATGGTGTTTAGAGGGAAATGAGTCTCTCCAAAATACTATCACTGTAGTACTAGAAAAGAACTGGGGTTCAATAGGACTAAAAATAAAGGTAAGTTACTTAAATTATTTATATTTTTTGCAACATAGGCTGGAAATAAATTCATTCCTATCTCATCTTTCTTTCATTTAATGATCCTTTTTTGTTTTTTTTTACCAGAACTGCTACCTTAGAATGTTAGGTGTTAATCAATGGTTGAGGATGATCAATTGCCTTTCCAGCCAGAATGGGTTTAGATTCCTGTTTTGGCCACTTGACCAACCTTGAGAGTCAACTTATTTACTCGCCGTGAGTTGGTAGTGTGTATGTTGCCATCTGATCAGTCTAGTCGCCACCGCCAATCGTATGGTAATTTTACATACAACCGTTTTTTTAAAGTAGCTGTTTCAGTTCATTTCTTAGAATTGAAATGTTTCTCATAACAGCATTGTTTACTTTCATAACACCATAGTTTTACTCATAACAACACAGGTAACAGACCAATGAGGTTCAAGGATTGAGAGAGAAGAAGTAAAATTGTAAGTATTCAAACTTCAACTAATCAGCTGTTCAGACCAATTTAATTGTTAAATGGTGCAATTAGTGTTTGGTACAACGTTTTGTTGCATCACTGTCAGTGGCAATGAGAGGTTATAAACAAAAACATAACCTCTCTTAGAAACTATGTGTAGTGATTTTTAGTAATTAAAACACTGTCGTAGGTAAAGTAGTGAACGCAACCATTGCGTAAATATAGTGTTAACGACACTCTAAGTTCTTGAAGCACTCGTACCTAAAATTTTCTACTCGTGTCTTTAACACCATCTTTACCCAATGGTTGGTAAACTACTATAACAGCTGATTTTTGTATTGTTATTTTTCACAGAACAAATATTAATACGAAACTGTTTGCAAAACTGTACTATCCTCTACAACTCTGACTAATATTTAGCGGCGACTTGTTTGAACTAACCTTAAGATTAGACATTTGCCACTACCTATACTTACTGTGCTTGTACCCGGTGAAAACTTGTTGAAAGAAAGAAAGAATACAGAATTGTTTTAAGGATATGCACAGTTGTATAAGTAGGCCTATTCACTGGGAATCAAAGGTTTAATTAAAGTAGGTACTACATTAGCTGACATTTAATTCACCTATTTCAATCACATGTTTTTTCTCAGGGAGACAAAGATGGCGTGGTCGTCAGTGACATTCTAGTAGGAGGAGCAGCTGACCTAAGTGGACTTGTCTTTCAAGGTAGGAATTCTATTCTTATATCGTCTTTGGAGACTTTTGGATATGTGTAATGTTTGCTTATATAGTGTCTGTAACCATAACATGCATGGCTTAGCTAAGGTTTAAATGCATACAAATTACAAATTCAAATTCTATAGATTTTTTTTACTAAACTCATAATTTTAAAATATTCTATTTGTAGTATTTTAAGAATTGAGAGGAACACCTTAGTAAGGATAATCCAGGACATCTCTAAATATTTGTTTAAGGTTGGTATCACTAAAAAAACTGTTTGTACTTAATAATTTTTTTTCATGACACTAGAAACTGCTCAAAATCAATGACAAAGTTTTCCTCATACTTTATTGTCTTCAAATTGTTGATTACCTAAATTAAATTCTCCCCTAGCAGTAGTAGAAGAAGATGATAAGTCTTATCTCTCAGAAGGTTTATTTCTATGTTTCTGGCACCTTGATTTTTAGAAATAAAGCATAGAATTTCTCTATTATTGAATATTAAAATATAACAGAAATATATATATAACGTATAACAATTAAAATCTTGCATGAAATTTGAGTAAATGCACAGTGCATAACCATTTTTCACTATGCTTTTAGCTTTAGGAAACCATAAATCAATGATGCGTTACACACACACAATGATGTCGATATAATAAAAGCTTAGCAGAAAAATGATTATGGATAATTTGTAAAGGAAAATTTAAGTCTTAGGTGGTTAGCAAAAAGTTAGATTTAGATCAATAATTTGTATCTGCATAATCCTTGAAAGCTATTCAGTAATTTTTTTTTAAACCACAGTCATGACGGATAGCGGGATATGTTAGATCTATTTAAACACATTTGACTTGACCAATAAATTTGATTTCACCATTATAGAGCTTAATTCTCAAAGAAATTAGTTAGTATGAAAATTAAAATCTAAGAGTTGCCTTTGGGAGAGTTTGAGATCTTAGATGAGCAGGTAATCCAGATATATATTTGATAAGTGATCTTGTAATTTTAGTTCCATTGGACTTTAAAATAAATCAAACTAATGTTCGTCCACTTACATTTAAATAATTTGACCTGTACTGACTGCACATCTCCCATTAAATTTTTTGGGATAGTTTTGCTGTGAAGTCAAATTTTATTAAGCTGATTGTTGAGATGCTAAGTACATAATAAAGATAATAACTTCTTGATCATCATTGTATGTGTTATTAGATTTACGGAAAGTTATTAAACTTTTGTCTGATAACACTTGAAACATCTATTTAAACTTACACTGTTATAGCTGCTCTCACAAGACTGTAAATACATGTAATAGATGTTAAGTGGTGATTGATTTTGATTGGCTACTCCAATCATCATCAGACTCAATAAGCAAATCTAATAATGTATTGGTGGATTTGCCTTTTTGGTCTGATGATGGTTGTAGTGTCTAATCAAAATTAATCACCACCTAACATCGTTTATATTTATTTACCATGTTGTGAGTTAACAGTATTAAGTGTAAATACATGTTTCAAGTTTATTACTCTCTGTATGTTAAGGATTTGCAATATGATTTGGGAATTATTTACTTCTTACAACTTACTTACTTGCCTTAACCCTGTTGACTTCTCCTGGGTTATATTGCCTCCATTGATCCTGATCCTAGGTAAATTCATTCTCATGTTATCTTCCCATGTTTTGTTTTTCATCGTTTCATCTTTCTGAGTTGGATTCCGGTGTTCAAATTCCAAGTTTCAATGCAAGTAGGGACATTGTCTCCTTGAACAGTGTTGGTTTCTGTAAAAGAAACGATTTAAGATTAGTTGTTAGCTAGCCATTTGCAACTAGTTTGTCGATGAGTTTCCACTTTCACCGCTAATCTGTCAAGGTCCTCTCATCTAGCCTTTGACACTCCCACTTCTATCTGCAAATCAGTAGTGCTAATTTTCGTACTTTTGATTGTTTTATTTCCCCGGCACCCTTCATATCCAATGAACTTCCTTCTATCTGCCACCTTGGGATGTGCCAACTAGATAGAAGATCAGAAAGTTCCTCATGGAATACATGTGGAATAGAATGGTCAAGGTTAAACAACATATTTGGTAGCAACCAAATCCACACTACTTGTGGAGAGTCACCCTAACTACATGTGACAGAAGTATGTCTCGTGGTGAGAAAAAACCTTTGCAATGGTGACTGCCCCCAATAATACTTTCTCCTTGAATCAACCTTTAAACCACCACTCATTTGTATACTAGGTTTTTTCAAATTTCCTGTTTTTATCATTCTCATCTAGTGGCACTTAAATGCACCAAAAACTTGAGCTATCTCAATATTAAGAGTAGATAGCTGGGTAAATCAGTGGTTATAGTGCTTGCCTGGTAATTTCAAAGGTCGCCGGTTCGAAACTGTGTGGCTTTTTCATGGCTCAAAACTAGACACATCTGTCCTTGATCACTGGGTTGTCCTAATAAACAGTCGACCTTAGTCACAGCTTAGTAAGCACGTATTTGAGCTAAAATACGCACCTAGGTGGCGGCGCCACCTCAATTAATAGAAGTAATCAAGTAATAAATACCCCCTCCGCAGCAAACCTGCCGACTAAGCAAATTTCCATTCGTCTGAATTGAATTTCAATTAAATCTATTTAAAAAATATTAGGTTTAACGAGTACCTAGTTTCCTTCTACATGGAAACTAATAAAGTGTATTTTTTAGTAAAATATTAATAGCTTAGTATAAAATAAATAAGTTTGCCAAGTTTGATCAAAATATATCCATAAAACAAGCAAACTACAAAATTTTTCAATATGAATAACATGGGAATTTTAAATTTTCTCCGTTTCCAATAACCGTACTAAAACTAAAACACTTTGATATGCTAAATTATTAGTTTTTCTACGCTCTTTAAAAAGGTCTAGAGAGAAATTAGGAAATGTTGTGTTTTAAGGGACAAAAATGAGAAAACCCATTTTTTTCCCCATCCCGTTCCCATGGTCCAATCATGCTGGTTTGCAAACTCATTCAATTTTATCCCGCCTCATACCTTTAAACCGAATTTCATCAAAATCAGACAAAAATTACTCAAGTTATCGCGTTCACAGACGATAATATATATATTATATATATTTAAATATATATACAAATTTTAACAAATTGTGTTTTTGGCCTCTGGGGACATCGAAATGAAAAAGTAAATCGGTCCCGGACCTAGGTCTTATTGTGCCACCTATGGTAATAGCTACTTCCCTATAGGGAAATTCGTTTGAAAAAAACTAAGGTTATTGAAGTTGAAATAATCTGTTGTATTCATGTTTGATAATTACTGTACACGGCATGCTAAATTATAGTTACGTTACTTAAAGGTTGTAATGCTATCGCATGATGCTTGGCTATTTATATTTTCATATAACTTAATGCTTGGCTCTACTTTTGAAAATAATTCTGTTTTGCATGGAAGTAGAAATAGTAAATTTGGTTTTGGCATGAGCAAATCAATATTCTGCATGAAATCATTATTGTTTCCAAAATTAACTGAAACTTTTTATTTTTACCAGGATTTCTCGTAGAGAAACAGCTGAAAATGGATTTCTTGCAGAAGTCAGCAACATGTTAGAAAACAATGTTACTCAATTATTAATTTATTTTTCATTACAAGGCAATATTCTAAAGATGCAATAATTTTAACCACAATGTGTTTTAAAACTTAATTAAATATAAATAGTGTTACCACCCTACTTTTAATACATTCGTATTCATATCAATGTTTTAGAAACATATCTTTTGGATTACAACTACAAGTTGTAAAAAATGTTTAGGTGCGATAACATTAAATATTGATGGTATAACATTGTATACCCTACATCAATGGAAGAGAAATGTCGAGTCATTTAGATAGGTGAATTAAATCCAGAATTCTTCATTTTATAAATTGTTTATTTCTAAATAAAAGTAGATCTAAAAAAAATAGCTTTGTGAAGGTTACTATACATTTTTTCTGATCTTGCCTGTGTTAGGATTTTTTGTAAATATCAACAAAAGATAAATGTTATAAATGTTTTGGTTTTATTAAAATAATTAACTGAATAAACTTTAAAACTAATAAATAAATTTAAAACTTGTATTTTAAAATGTATTTTCTTATTTTTTTAACATAGCATAACTAATTACAACAATCTAAAATTGTCCATAAAACTTGAGGGTCTCTAATTAACACATCATATGAGCCTTTCTCATACATTATATATTTCCCCGTACCATACAATATAAAAGTTTGTTAGGCTATGTCCTTTTCCATACATTCCGTAATCCATCAAACTGAATAGCGTATCCTAGGTTTTCAGTTGTGCTGTTTAATCGTCTTTTTATTATTGAGTTACATAAGGTTAGAATTTGCTATGAAAAATCCCCATTTAAATATCAGTTGATTCTTAACAAGTATAATATATTTTGTTATACGATACCAATTTCATAAATAATCAGTGTGGATAAAGTCTTGTCTTGAATACGTTTTATTGCAATAAAATCATCAATGCTTGACTTTTCATAAAGAAAGTAACAAGTGTATTTTGTAAATGAGAGAAATTTCTAGTTTGCTAGAAAATTTAAGATACCAGCTCGTAGATGCGTAAGTTTTAAATTAACGTAACTTTCCCCACTAGTTTTAGAGCAGTTGATTTACAATGTGTATGAATAAAGTAGTAATGGTGCCTTTCAATACATATTATGTGGATATACTGTAAAAACCATATATCAGTCGACATACTGTAGTTGAAAAGTTATCGATAAGTGAATAAGAATATTAATGTTGTGCGGTTAATGTTTGTGCTGCAGATCAACACATAAATAACTACCAAGCTTTTTACGGAATATTCTTGGCTTTTACTGATTTACCGATGCTTTATCACGTTGTGTTATTTTTATAGCGCGTTATAATGATTGAAGTTTACACCTGATGTATATACAGTATTATAGTTGATGTTCGTATATTAAGAAATGAAATAAATTTAAGGAAATCGTCTTCCGAATT